ATATTTGGTGTCATTGAACAATGCCCTAGACGAAATGGACTTAACTGATATATTTGGAGCCCTTCATTCCAAAGAAGCTGAATACACATTCTTTTCAAATGCACATGGAACATTTTCAAAGACAGACCACATGAACATTTTCAAAGACAGACCACATGATAGGACACAAAACAAGCCTCAACAAATGCAAGAAAACTGAAATCATACCAAGCATTTCTCTGACCACAAGGGACTGAAACTAGAAACCAACCCCAAGAAAAAAAAAAACCCAAACACTCAAAATCATGGAGATTGAATAGCATGCTATTAAACAATGAATGGGTCAAGAATGAAATTAGGGGAGATATCAAAAACTTTCTGGAAACAAATAAAAATGAACTCACAACAACCCCAACCTTATGGGACACAGTGAAGGCAGTTCTGAGAGGGAAGTTCACAGTGATACAGGCTGACCTAAAGAAGATAGAAACATTTCAAACAAACAGCCTAACACTATGCCTACAAGAACTCCAGGAACAACAACAAAGACAGCCCAGAGCAAGTAAAAGGAAGGAAATAACCAAGATCAGAGCAGAACTAAATGACATAGAGACTAAAAGCACAATTCTAAGGATTGACAAATTCAGGAGCTGGTTTTTTAAAAAGATAAACAAAACTGACAAGCCTTTAAGCAGGCTTATCAAGAAAAAAACAGAGAGGACCCAAATAAACATAATCAGAAATGAAAGAGGAGAGATTACAACTGACACCACAAAAATACAAAGCATTGAAAGAAACTACTATGAAGAACTGTATGCCAAGATATTGGAAAACCTAGGTAAAATGAACAAATTTCTAGAAAAATATAATCTTCCAAAACTCAATGAAGAAGGAGCAAAAAGCCTGAACAGACCAATAACAGCAGACAAAATTGAAGCAGTAATCAAAAAACTCCTGACACACAAAAGCCCTGGACCAGCTGGTTTCACAGGAGAATTCTAGAGCATTTAAAGAAGAGCTAACCCCTATCCTTCATAATCTATTCCAAAAAAATCCAAAATGATAGAAGACTCCCAAACTCTTTTTATGAGGCTAGCATCATTCTAATCCCCAAACCAGATAAAGACATAACAAAGAAAGAAAACTTCAGGCCAATATTGCTGATGAACATAGATGCTAAAATCCTCAAAAAATATTGGCAAACTGCATCCAACAATACACTGAAAAGATCATACACCATGACCAAGTGGGATTCATCCCAGGGATGCAAGGCTGGTTCAATATTCACAAATCAGTAAATGGAATACATCATATAAATAAAAGCAAAGATAAAAATCACATGATCATATCAATAGATGCAGAAAAAGCATTTGATAAGGTACAGCACCCATTTATGATAAAAACACTCAGCAAAGTGAGAAGAGAGGGAGCATTCCTCAACATAATAAAGGCCATATGTGACAGACCTACAGCCAACATCATACTCAGTGGGCAAAAACTAAAAGCTTTCCATTAAGATCAGGAACAAGACAAGACTGTCCACTTTCACCACATCTATTCAATGTAGTATTAGAAGTTTTAGCCACAGTGGTGAGACAAGAAAAGGAAATAAAAGGCATCTGACTCAGAAAGGAGGAAACAAAACTGTGATTGTTTGCAGATAATATAATAGTGTACATACAAAATCCTATAGACTCCACCCAAAAACTGTTCAACCTAATAAATGTATTTGAAAAAACAGCAGGATACAAAGTCAATATTCAGAAATCAAAGGCATATTTGTATACCAACAATGAAACAGCAGAAGCAGAAATCAAGAAAAAAATCCCATTCGATATAGCAACAAGAAAAATAAAGTGCTTAGGAATAAACCTAACCAAGGAGGTAAAAGGACCTATATGCAGAAAACTACACAACACTGAAGAAAGAAATCAAGGAAGACACAAACAAATGGAAACATATACTGTGTTCATGGATTGGAAGAATTAACATCATCAAAATGTTCATACTACCCAAAGCAATTTACAGATTTAATGCAATACCAAAGTACCAATGGCATATTTCACCGACATAGAACAAACACTTCAAAAATTTATATGGAGCCATAAATGACCCTGAACAGTTCCTGCCATTTTGAGAAAGAAGAGCAAAGTAGGAGGGATCACAATACCCAATACCAAACTTGTAATCAGTCTGGTACTGGCATAAAAACAGGCACACGGACCAGTGGAACAGAAGAGAGAGCACAGAAATAAACCCAAGTCTCTATGGTCAATTAATATTCTACAAAGAGAGCAGCAACATAAAATGGAGTAAAACCCATCCTCCTCAACAAATGGTGTTGGGAGAACTGGACAGCTACGTGCAAAAAAATGAAACTTGAGCACCAACTTAAACCATACAGAAAAATAAATTCAAGGTGAAAAAAGATTTAAATATAAGCCATGACACCATTAAAGTCCTAGAGGAGAACATAGGCAGGAAAATCTCAGATATTTCATGCAGCAATCTTTTTACTGATGTGTCCCCTAAAGCAAGGTACATAAAGGAAAGAATAAACAAAGGGGATCTCATCAAAATAAAAAAAACTTCTGCACAGCTAAAGAAAACAGTATTAAAATAAAAAGAGAACCAACTGTATGGGAAAACATATTTGCCAAATGATACCTCAGACAAGGGTTTAATCTCCAAAATATACAAAGAACTTACATGACTCCACTCTAAGCAGACAAGCAACCCAATTAAGAAGTGGGCAAAGGACTTGAACGGATACTTCCCCAAGGAGGACATACAGAAGATCCAGAGACACATGAAAAGATGCTCAATATTGCTAGCTATCAGAGAGATGTAAATTAAAACCACAATGAAATACCACTTTATACAGGTCAGAATGGCCATCATAAACAAAGCAACAAACAACAAGTGTTGGAGAGGTTGTGGAGAAAAGGAGACCCTAGTGCACTGTTGGTGGGATTGCAGACTGGTACAACCACTATGGAAAACAGTATGGAATTTTCTAAGAAAACTAAAAACGGACCTGCAGTTTGACCCAGCAGTTCCACTGCTAGGATTATATCCTAAGAACCCTGAAACACCAATCCAAAAGAACCTATGCATCCCAATGTTCATAGCAGCACAATTTACAATAGTCAAATGTGGAAGCAACGTAGGTGCCCATCAGTAAATGAATGGAACCCAAAACTATGTATGGTACATTTACACAGTGGAATTCTATGTAGCAGAAAGAAAGAAGGAGCTCCTACCCTTTGCAACAGCATGAATGGAACTGGAAAGCATTATGCTGAGTGAAATAAGCCAGGTGGTGAAAGACAAATATCGTATGATCTCACCTTTAAAGGAACCTAAACAACAACAAACAAGCAAGCAAAATATAACCCAAGACACTGAAATAGAGAACACGCTGGCAGTTACCAGAGAGGAGAGCGGAGGGAATTTCAGGAGAAATGGGGAAGGATTTACAGAAACAAGTATAAAGGACACATGGACAGAAACTAAGGGGAATGGAAATGGGAGGGAGGTGGGGAGCACTGGGAGGGGTGGGCTGGGATGGGAGTAAAGGACAGAAAACTGTACTTGAACAACAGTTAAATAAAAAAATTAATATTATCTCTCAATATTATCACCTAAAATCTTATCATTTCACAGAAGGATATGAAAGTTAGTATTTTATACTTCAAAGGGAAAAGAAATGAGCTAAGATCAAAAACTTTTCCTCCATTAATGTCTTGTAGCAAATCCATTAGAAAATCATTCACATCTAATTGCCTAATCACAATAGAAGACGAAGAGTGAAATAACTAATGAAAAGAAAAATTGTGTCGCAGTACCCTATACTTTGATAGGGTCTGCAAATAGCAATAACCTTAGGACCATTTCATTTAATTTACTTAGAATTGAAGAGGGGGATTTTAATTTTTATTTAGTTAGGATTCATATTAAATAAAAATTTTATTAAACAATAAAAAAAAGAACAATCTAACAGTATCCAGAGGCAAGATGAGATGGGAGCAGATAATTTGGGGAAAAGGGTGAAGCGTTTGTAGGAACAACTACAAAGGACACATGGACAAAAACAAGGGGGTGGGGTGGAAACGGGGGAGAGAGGTGGGGATGATTGGAATCGGGGGGGGGGGAGAGCTGAGGAGAAAATACAGAAAACTGTACTTGAACAACAAATATATAAAATTAAAAAGTATTTAATAAAAAATATAAAAGACATTAAATGTTTATGCATTTGCATGAAATTAAAATAATTTAAATTAAAAAATTTTATAGTCTGTGAAAACAGATTTACAGCTCTTTTATATCTTTATCAAAGATATACCTAATATTTTAGGGGCTTTGAAATTCACACATTGCTATACATTCATTATAGAAAAGACACATAAATAAAAATTAGAAAAATATGCAAACCATATATAATGCTACTACTCAATAATTTGTACTGTTAACATTTTCTTTACATATTTAAAAGATTTATTCCTAGAAATCTTTATATTCACATTAAAAAAAACATTTTAATGGCCTCATACTTTATCCTGATGTTTTACTTCCAACATACTTCATTACATGTTTTTTTCATCAATGAATATACATGTCTCCAAACTACAATCCAAAGGGATAGTATCACATGCTACTGCACTTGTGGCACATATTTCCCACTAACTCAGTTCTAGCTATAAAAAGAGAGTTTCTGTATAAAGTTTCCAATAATTACTTAAAATTATTAATATACTTGCTGAATAAGCTTTCTTTAAAATGTCTTTAAAAGCATTGCACTCATACCTCTGATTTTAATTTTTAAGAAACCAAAAATATTTAAAAATACATATTTCTGATTTTGGAATCAAACTGAAAAAAGTTTTGCTTATAGTTAACTTTCAAAAATGAAATTACCCCTTTATTAAAATTAAAAAATTACATGATAAGAATTCAGAAAATAAAGCAGTAGATTAGGGTAGTGGGTTATCAGGAGCCTGAAAAATAGCACTCTTATTTACCTGAAGTGGGAGACTTGCAGCGCTCAAGTTCCAGGGGAACTGGACTGTCATTCAACTCAGTTAGACCTGAATATAAAATGACAAAAAATGAATAAAGTTTGCTAACACTTTGTAGATAATTCTTACTTCTTAATTCCTATAAGTTTTACAAGTTTTTTTTACCTGTGAAAACTATTTTCCTATGCTCATATTATTACAATTTGTGTTAATCTTTTTAAGTTAAAATATAGTTAGCATAAGATATATTAGTTTCAGGAGTATGACATAGTGATTGCCATTTATATATCCTACAATGTGATCACCACAGTAAGTGTAGTAACCATCTGTAACCCTGCAAAGTCAGATCACTAATATTGACTATATTTCCTTCACCTTTTCATCCATTCCTTTACTTCCCATCCCTCTGTTGTAACAAGTGATACTGAAAAAAAATGAGCAATAACTAGTTGATATACCAAAGGGTAATTGAATATGATGGTGAAAAGTATAAAACCTTTAAAACTATTTTCATATGAAATATCTATTTTATTAAATAATGTGGCTTCATCTGAAAAAAGATGAAGAATAAAACAAATTAGGGTTTTTTTTAAAGATCAAATCAAAGCTTGCACTTTCAAGAGAAATGGTTATTGACTTTTAAAAAGATCTTTAAGGAGATGCTACAATTTTTAAGTATTATACTTATTAAAAATGCAGTATTGTGTAGTGCATACTATGTGGTTTGTTCAATGGTATCAAATTACTTATAATAAGCACTATATTTTTATTTTTAGTATTGTTTTTAAATTTATTTTTATTGTTGACACTATTAGTGTTTCTTATTTTCTGTTGTTACTTTCCTGACAAATACAAGGATAGGCACACTAGATCAGTAAACATTTTGTAATTCTCACTGTCTGCTATTCTGCCTTCTTATGGCATTCATAAACCCTAACTATGGTTTTCTTATAATTGTTGGAGGGTCTTGCATATTTTTTCTTTGTAAGTAAATATTCTGAGTTTCTATTCTAATGTAAATTCCATATCCAGAGGTACTTAAGCATTATTTTCAATTACCAAACCATCTTTGTTCATATTCCTTTCCACCATCCCCTTTATATAATTTGTACCAATGAACTTGCTGTAGGTTCAAAAAAATCACAGAATTTTAGAAAAGGAGCATTGTAATACAATACCTAACCCTTATGCTTCATAGGTAAGTAAAAGTATGTTTAAAGAGTTTTAAACTATAAGAACAGATACTACACTTTATCTCAGCCAAAAGGCCAAGAAGTGATCAACAAAATGAACAAGCAAGCAAAATATAGCCAAAGACACTGAAATTGAGAACAGGCTGACAGTGACGGGAAGGGGGAGGGGAACAGATTATAAGGGAAAAGGGTGGAGGGTTTGTAGGAATTATTATAAAGGACACATAGACAATAACGAGGTGGGGTGGGAACAGAGGAGGGAGTGGGAAGGGATGGTGGAAAACGGCAGAAAACTGTACTTGAACAACTATAAAATGTTAAAAGAAAAAAAGAGTTTTAAGCTATTTATTTAAGGTTACAGAACTTAGTACACCAAAGCATGAACTGAATTCTTATATTTTGTTAAGTCTTTTGTCAGAAGTAGGTATTGTGAATATTTTTCTTTCAGTATGTGACTTTTCATTTTGGGAATGTGGGGGACAAAGCAGGAGAGCAATGGGAAAAGGCAGGGCAACTGTAATTGAACAGTAAATAAAAAATAAAATAAAAAGGAAAATGAAATATCTTTTGGCGAGAAGATTAATTTACTTGAAAAACAATTTATTACATTTTTATTGTGATTATTCTTTTTTTGGATTCCTTACTATGTAAGTAATCATTGTCTACCTCATGGTCATAAAGATATTCTTTATTTTTCTCAAAAGCAATTTTAATTTTAGATTTCATTTTTAGGATATAATTCATCTCAAGTTAATTTTGGATCATGGTGTGAGGTAGAGATGAGGTCCATTTTTCCCCTACACATTGGCCCAGTTGTTCTATCATTATCTGTTAACAGATTTTTTTTCATTAAAAGGATTTTTATTGTTGTTAAATTACAGTTGTCCCCATTTCCGTCCCTAATACTTTCCCACACCCTACCCACCTCCACCTCCCACATTCAATCCTCCCCCTACCCCTGTTGTCTTTGTTCATGGGTCCTTTATACATGTTTCTTGACCCTTCCCATTCTTTCCCCCATTATTCTCTCCCATCTTCCCCTGTGGTCACTGTCAGTTTGTTCTCTATTTCCATGTCTCTGGTTCTATTTTTCTTGCTTATTTATTTTGTTGATTAGGTTTCACTTATAGGTGAGATCATAAGGTATTTGTGTTTCACTGCCTAGCTTTTTAAAATATTTTTCTAAAAGATTTTATTTATGTCTAGAGGGAGAAGGGAGGAAGAAAAAGAGAGAAAACATCAATGTGTGCTTGCTTCTTGTGCACCTCCCACCATGGACCTGGACTGCAACCCAGGCATGCAGCCTGATAGGGATCAAATCTGTGACCCTTTGGTTCACAGGCCAGCACTGAAATCCACTGAGCGACGCCAGCCAGGGCTGGCTTATTTTTGCATTTTTGTTCAGTGACAGTTGTCCCCAGTTTCCCCCATTATGTAATTCTCCCCTGCCCTATTCGCCCTGCACGTCCAAAATTAAATGCTCCCCTGGCCAACCCCACCCACACTGTCTTTGTCCATGAGCCCTTTATATATGATCCTTAACTTGACTGTTCCTTTTTTTCCCCCCGGTTATCCACCTCCCCTGTCTCCTCTGGTCCATGTGAGTTTGTTCTTTATTTCCATGTCTCTAGCTCTATTTTGCTCATTTGTTTTTTTTTGTTGAATAGATTTCACTTATAGGTGAGGTCATATGGTGCTTGTCTTTCACTGGCTGGCTTATTTCATTTAGTCTAATACTCTCTAGTTCCATGAAAATACTGTCATGAAGGGTAGGAGCTCCTTCTTTCTTTCTGCTTTGTAGTATTTCATTGTGTAAATATACCACAGTTTTTAAATCCACTCATTTACTAATGGCCACTTAGGCTGTTTCCACCACTTGGCTTTTGTAAATAGTGCTGCTGGGAACACTGTGGTGTGTAGGTTGTTTTGAATTGGTGTTTTGGGATTCTTAGGGTATAACTGAAGCAGTGAAATTGCTGGGTCAAAAGGCAGTTAAATTTTAGTTTTTGAGGGGCGAAATTCCATACTGTTTTCAACAGTAGCTACACCAGTCTGCATTCCCACCAACAGTGTACTAGGGTTCCCTTTTCTTGACAACCTCTCTAGCACTTGTTTGTTGATTTGTTTATTATGGCTATTCTGCCTGGAGTGAAGTGGTATCTCATTGTGGTTTTAATTTGCATCTCTCTGATAGCTAGTGATGCCGAGCATCCTTTCATATGCCCCTGGGCCCTTTGTATGTCCTCCTTGGAGAAGTGTCTGTTTAAGTCCATTACCCATTTTTTAATTGGGTTTTTGTCTTCCTGGAGTGGAGTCATATGAGTTCTTTACATATTTTGAAGATCAAACCCTTGTCTGAGGTTTTTCCATATGGTTTGTTCCTTCCTCATTTTGCTAATGTTTCCTTTAGCCATGCAGAAGATTTTTATTTTGATGAAGTCCCATTTGTTTATTTTCCTTTATGTCCCTTGTTCTAGGGGGCATATTGTTGAAAATATTGCTACATGGAGTATCTGAGATTTTCCTGCCTATGATTTCCTCTAGGACTTTTATGGCTTCACAACTTATATTTAAGTCTTTTATCCATCTTGAGTTAATTTTTATGTATGGCATAAGTTGGTGGTTGAGTTTAATTTTTTACATGTAGCTGTCCATATCTCCTGACACCATTTGTTGAAGAGGCTATTTTTACTCCATTTTATACATCTGCCCCTTTGTTAAATATTAATTGCCTATAGAGACACGGGTTTATTTCTGGACTCTCCATTCTGTTCCATTGATCTATGTGTCTGTTCTTATGCCAGTACTAGACTGTTTTGATTACGGTGGCCTTGTAATATTGTTTAACATCAGGTATTGTGATCCCTCCTGTTTTGGTTTTCTTTCTCAAAATTGCTGCAGCTATTTGGGGTAATTTATGGTTGCATCTAAATTTGTGAAAAATTTGTTCTAGATCTGTGAGGTATGCTATTGGCATTTTAATAGGGATTGTGTTGAATCTATAAATTGCTCTGGGCAGTAGGGACATTTTGATGATGTTAATTCTTCCAATTCATGAACACAGTATATGCTTCCATTTACTTGTGTCTCCCTTAATTTCTTTCTTCAGTGTTGTGTAGTTTTCTGCATACAGGTCTTTTACCTCCTTGGTTAGGTTTATTCCAAGGTACTTTATTTTTCTTGTTGCTATATCAAATGGGATTTTTTCCTGACTTCTGTTTCTGATATTTAGTTGTTGGTGTACAGGAATGCCTTTGATTTCTGAATATTGAATTTGTATCCCACTGTCTTGCTAAATTCATGTACTAGGATTGAGTAGTTCTTTTTGTTGGAGTCTATAGGGTTTTATATGTATACTATCATGTCATCAGCAAACAGTGACAGCTTTACTTCCTCCTTTCTAATTTGGATGCCTTATATTTCTTTTTTTTTTTTGTCCAATTTCTGTGGCTAGGACTTCCAAAACTATGTTGAATAGAAGTGGTAAAAATGGACATCCTTGTTTTATTTCTGATCTTAGGGGAAAGCTTTTAGTTTTTGCCTGTTGAGTGTGAGTTGGCTGTAGGTCTCTCATATATGGTCTTTATTATGTTGAGATATGCCCCCTCTACTCTCACTTTGCTGAATGTTTTATTATAAATGGGTGCTGTACCAAATGCTTTTTTCACATCTATTGATGTGATCATGTGATTTTTGTCTTTCCTTTTGTTTATGTGATATATTACATTTATTGATTTGCAAATATTGTACCATCCTTGCATCCCTGGGGTGAATCTCACTTGATCAGGGTGTCTGTCTTTTTAATGTATTGCTGGATGCAGTTTGCCAATATTTTGTTAAGGATTTTAGTGTCTATGTTCATCAGTGGTATTGGCT